GGCTAGCATATATATATATATATGTATATATATATATATATATATATATAGTTATATATAGTTTGTCTATGCACAAACCCTATCACTCTTCACCCCGCAGACGCTGCACCCCGATATCCTGCGAAAGCAAAAGCCGCAGACCTGGCATCATGTCTTCCTCCCAACATACGGCGGGGCCGAGGCGGACGACGCGCAGCGTTTAATTATGATGATGAATGATGATGATGTTGACGCTGGTGTCACTGATGATGTGTAGACTGACTGCAGCTGCTCGAACTGCTGCTGCTCTCATAATGATGCTAAGTATGAAGGTGACTAAAGCCATGACCTTAGTAGCCTTTGTAGGACAAGGAAATTAATAACCGCGCTCCCGGAGTGGGAGTGGAGTTGGAGTAGGAAGGAGTCGCGAAGTTTTTGTTTCAGCACCGATCCTGCATGGTGGCAGGGCCTTGTCGAAAGCATTGTCATCATCACTTCCGGTTGAAGATGCAGCAGCGGTCAGACAGCAAGCACTCCAAAGACTGGCGCGGAGCCCGGAGCCACTGCGGACAGAGCTTTGGCTTCGACGCTTGGAGGAGCGAATCGCTTACCCGATACGGCCTTTGTCCACACTACACAACAGAAGCTGTTCTGCTCTTTGTCTTCGTGCTGTCTCTCACGGTCCTTCATCTTAGGAATTACTGTCGGATCTCAGCATGTCTGTGCACTCGTACCATCCACAGAAGGATTGCCGCAAATAAGGAGGCATTGAGGGTCAGTTTGGGCACCCTACAGCAGCACGGCTTGATGCGGGGAACCCACAGCAGTGCAGGCCCGTTGCTGCAATTGCCCCCGCGCAGTGTTCGCTTGACCCGGTCTCGACCCGTTGTGGCATTCGTCGACGACCCTTTCAAGGATGCTGCTAGTTTCGGCATTTGTGGAACAGGTCTTATTGTCACTCTTTGCCAGACATGCTGCAAGCAAGGATGTGGGGCTTGGCCCGGAGATGTTCAGGTCTTGAGTATCAACGTGAAACCGACGAATGTCCACTCGAATGTCCTGGTCACGCTTTCCCTTGATTTTCCTTCATTCCCTTCATTGGGTTTGTCCGCTTCTGTACCTGATTTTCTCACTGAAACCATCGAGCGTGCGTGCCGGCTCGCTTCTTTTGATTCGTACGAATATTCACTGACATCTTCACCTGTCTCTGCCAATATGCATGTACTGTGGTGATGGGCCGCTTCCGATTTTGACGAGAGCGAGGACGGCATCACCTCGGTCCACTTGGCCCGGGTTGAGGTGCTCAGGAATTCCTCACGCGCTGTGCACTGCACATGCCCGATGGCTCAAATCTTGAGGCGCTCGCACTCAAAAGGTTTTCCGAAGGCATGCTGCGGATGGGAAGACTCTTGCAGAGCTGGGGCTGCGTCAGCAAAAGCAGCAATCCTTTAATTGAGGACCTTCCACTGTGGAGTGTTCGAAATTTCCACCCTCCTTGACAAATTAGATGTCCGCATCGCTTGGAAGATGCAGCGTACGCCAGGAAGAGCAAGGATGTGAAAGGAATCAATGTCGAGCCAGACCCCTGAGCCGTCGCACTTTGATCTCTCCGTGTAATCGGTCGTCTGCGACTCAGGGTCTGTGATCTCCGGCTTAAGCTTGCTCCTCACTGCAGGCTCAGAGAACAAACATATGTGATGATTTGTACATATTTGTGTAGATACCACTCTCCTGTTAAGTAATGTTGGATGTAGGTGTGACGGTGAGTAGCTTTCATGGGCCATCTAGGCACGCGCCGATGAAAAGAGGTGCTGGCAACGTCATTGTGCTAAAGTCTTCAATTGCAGTGCAGGAAGGCGCCTCGACGCAATCCAATGCCATTGGTTGCATCGATTTGCGCAGTGGCCTGCTCGCCGCTGGAAAGCAGAGAGAGAACAAAAGCTGGGAATTCGACTTCCCGGTTTCCGTCACGAGGCCGCGGCGCGGCAGGGCCGGCCGCGTGCAGCGCTGCGCTATCTCCGCCGGCTCATGGGGCCGCTGCAGGCCCTTCGAGAGGAGCGGTGGGGCGTGTCCTGGGGCCTGGGTTCCTCACAATCCTGAAAAGGTTTAGAGTGGGTGGGTCTCGCAGACGGTTTCAGAAGAACTTGTGCGGCCAACAGGCATGTTATGCCCCAACATAAGCTGGATCCAGAGGAAAAATCCAGTTGAGAACATCCGGTTCAAGAGTTGCGCGAATTGCGCGCCCAAGCTTCGCTGATTTTTCGAGGGGTGCAGTCGGTCGGAGTCTGCCCGGGGCCACGAGAGCTCAGCCGAGCCGCTGCAGCTGTTCGTTACTCCCGCAGCTCGCGGGTCCTCTTCGTACCCCAAAGCTTTTGCTTCACCTTTTGTATAGTAGTATAGTAGAGGCGTTCTCGATAGAGGCGTGTCTGAAAAAGGACCACTCTTGCCGTTACACTCGTCGATCATGAACAGTTCAGATATTGTACGAATGAAAGGGGGATTTCTTCAACTTCGTTGAACTGATGCACATGTTGTGCTGAGACGGTGTCGACAGCGAGCTCTGCAAGACAGAAAAAGGCAAGACTAGCATGGGATTGAGTGCACTATTCTAGCAAGACTCGACTGGACGTGATGTTCGGTCGTGGACTGCGGACTTCGGGGCACGATTGCTGTTTTGCAAGCGGCGAAGGCTTGCAATACGGTTCATGCGCAGGAAACGCTCAAGTTCCCTCGTTGCCTCAGGAGCAGAGCACTGCCGGACTATTGGACCAGATCAGTCTGGTTTTCCTCGCGTGCGAGCGTGACTCTTGAACCCAGTTCAGCACAAGTCTTCGAGCTTTGGCTTTCGTCGCTATGTTACTGAATCGCCAAGCACTCTGATCATCAGGGCGGCGAAAGCAGTCTGGCGGAGCAATGGCTTCATCGTATCCGAGCAGCAGGTCATGCACCAACTGCAGAGCATTTCTGGCAACTGGTCTAAGCTAGCGTTTTGCATTGTTCCCTTTCAACCGGCATGTGCTTGAGTAGGAGGTTTGGCTCCAAGGTACTCCATGAAAGCTTTTGCCAAGAAGGGCTTGTCCAGGCCGGCAGTGTAAATCCGCGCGAAGATCTCGACTGGCTTGGCCCGCGAGGGATGCAGAGAGATGTTTCCGTGAAATGCTCCGCTGCTGCCTGCAAGCAACTGCGATGGAGCCTCCCGGCAGCAGGAAGCGGTGCCTCTGTTCGGATGTAGCATTTCAGAACGGCTACGCTGATCCCTTGAGTGGATCTTGCTGGAAGGGGCTGTTGATGCGAAGTGCCAAGAAAGGTGCACAATGATGATACGTGCTTCTGGGAAGTCGGGCGATTCTCAACGTGCACTTGCTTGGCTGATGCGGATGCATGGTGTGCCTTGGCCAGGTGGATCGAAGAGTGGTTAGCTGCGAAAAGACAGACCTTTTGTGGCCGACTGCACGCGTTGGGTAGAGCCGGTAGAGCCATGGAGCCAGCCGCTTTGGCTGTGTAAAGCGGCCGTGCTGGCCATGCTGGTTCAACAAAGCCTGATGACTGCACCCCTGCCATCACAAGACTCGACAAAGCTGGGTACTTTGAGAGGCACGACAATTGGAAGCTCTCGGCGATTTCTGCCCAGGCAAGAGAGCACACGAATTTGAAGGCCACTCACTGCCCTAAACATCGCTCTACGAGCTCGGGCGATTGCAGCTTTTCCGCGCCAGGGGGAAAGGACAATGTCACGTGCGAGACTCGCTGTAAGCCAGGAATCAGGAAGGTGATGACCTGTTCATGATGCGGCCGGCTTGCCTTTACTAGAACATGTAGCATCATTATCAGTTGCAAGCAGGAATTCTCATGCGCATGCCATGATTGATCATGATTGAGTTCTGAGGCGAAAGCAGGTTCATCCTTGATTGAAGTGCCAAGGCTCAACTGACTGTGGATGTCTTTGCCTACAACGCCGTGCTCGGAGCATACTCAATGGAGGGAGATTTCCGCTCTGCTTTGAATCTGGTCAAGGCTCCCTCGGACTGCGCACCTGCACCGTCTCTGACGCATTCATCCTGCTTACAATCAGGCTATGGAGTCTGGATTTCTGTGGCTTTGGCTTGGCGCTAGTTCCTTGGGTCCTGAAACCGTGAGATACCTTTGGCCTCAGGCACAGCATCAAGCCAGATGCCGCCAGCTATGCAGCAGCTGCCAATGCTTGCACATCCTCGGAGACCCGACGAAGGCGGCCAAGGCTAAGTCCATTTCGAAGGCCCATTTCAAGTCAGACTCGTGGCGAGGCATCACCTCGCGGATCTTGCCGACCCTTGGCCAAAGGACAATGGAAAACTCATACCGTGCAAACACATTGGAAAACGCAGAAGTGAGGCTTCTTTCCTGTAGGGCTCAGGAATCAGTGGAGATATCTCAAAATCCGGATAACTTCAGAGCAGTAAAGAAATCTGCACGTCAGCACTATAGAAATCAAGAGACAATTGTAATTAGACAGGTCGCGAGAAAGTTTTCGGCATCTGAGGGAAAACTAATGAAATTAGTGTAAATAATGAACATCTAGAAGAGTCTGGTAGAGCTCAACACAGCTGTTTTCCCAAAATCGATTGGATACAACGTTTGTTTATTCCCGTCTCTTGACGGAAGACTACAGCTGGACACAAAGCTTTCACTCGACCTGAAAATCTCTCTGGGACCGCGCGCGGAAGGACGCGGAAGAGCTGCGGAAGGCGTTGCTCCGCGGAAGGGCGCGGAAGCAACAACTACGTAAGCCGCCGGGCCAGAAGAACACGTCAGTCGAACGAGACTTAACTTGAACCAGCTACTGTCCTGTACTCTTCCAGGGCTCAGGTCTTCTTCCAGGAATCCCCAGGCACGGCCAGGAAGCAAGTGGAAGTCCTGTTCCGTGGAACGGATGTGGCCTGCATTTGCGGAAAGGAGTTAGCGTAATACGTCAAGAGGGGTTATGCTCTTGCGGAAGGGTTCGCTTGCAAAACAGTCCGCGGAAGGGCATGCTCAAGGGACGACATGTAGTGACTCAGAAAACCTCAGAAACGTGCCAACGCTTCGAAGCCCGGAAGGCTGCGGAAGGGTTGTGCGGAACGGGCTTTTGTGTTTTTCGGTTTGAAACAGAATAAAAAAGCATAGCTCATGTTGGCAGCATACCTGATATTGCGTACGTATTCTCACGGGCCGTTAGGTGGTCACCCAGCTTACATCCTCGCTGACACCCTTTATTTGGGATATTACCTCAAAGGTGGCTGGAATCAGTCCTCTCTTTTTCTTGTGCTGACAAGTATTTCAAGAGGTAGGATCTCCCCATGTCGATCTTCACATGGCATTTCAGCCAGCTGCTCAGCTGGATGATGCTTCCGCCTCTTCACGATCGCAGCAGTTCCCTTACGACAGAGATCCTGAAGGCTCTTGCTGGAGGTTCCAAGCTGTCATTGGTCACCGCCTTGATTTTGGTTTTGCGGACGCGTCTTGCCGAGTTTTCTTCTCGGGTCGGGGGGTCGGTGTCTCCTTGCCCTCGGATGACACTTTGATAGTCACCGATCGGCTGAAGACGATCCTAATCAAACTATCATCCACAAGTGGATGGTATGGCGGGTCGTGGTCTGGTAGGTTTCTCTCGTTTTTGGCAGCAGGACTCCCCCTCCTTTTAGCATCCGCCTTGCCTCGCCTATGCATGTTGCTGATGATGCTTCCAAGAAGCGGAACATCTAAAGGTCTTTGTCGCGGAATTTATGCAAAGCAGCTTTCGAAGATAGAGATCAATGTGTCCACTAAAGGCAAAACATCAATAGTCAATCCGCGAACGCTTTTAAATGCGACAGACTTGGGACACATAAGACCTGTAGAGAACATGCCTTCATTCTGCAGATGTACAGGTCCCAAGCCCGTTTCTGCGCAATGCCGCAGTACATCCACGGCCTTGTTTTGAGGGTTGACTGGGCTGCAAGCAGCAGCGAAGATGTAGCTGCTAGGAACACTAGCAACGATCCATCAACTCGTCTAGCCCCACCACCACCACCACCACCACCGCCACCGCCACGGCCGCGACTACTACTACTACTACTACTACTACTAAAAAGCATAACAATAATACAAAGCACAACAGTACTAGGAATAATAATGTAAATAGTAATGTAATACAATTTCAGCGCGAAAGGAAAGCAATACTCAGGAAAGAAACCATGTCCAGAAGAACAAAGGTTGAGCAACGCTCATGTGGAAAATCAGAAAATTGAAACATTCGAAGTACCTAGAAACACGTTTCGAAATTCAAGACATGATATAGGGACATGTAGAGCATTCACTCTAACGACAGTTCAAGCCACAGCGATGAAGTCTGCTGAGTGGGCTACAAATGCGAAAGGAATCCTTACGGATCAGAACCAGCCGGCAAGCTCTAGTGAACATGTGAGAACTTCAGCGACCGAGGTGACACGAAGCGTAGCAAGCTGTTTGATGAATTCTGCGAGAACCCTCGAAACAAGTGTAACTGTAGAGAACCTAGAGAGATGTTTCAAGAGATCTAGATAAATTTGGAGAAAGCCCAATAAAGTTCACAAGTTTCGAGACATTTCAGAAACCTAAAGAAATCTGACAACTCCAGCAGTCAGAACACAAGTGAGAAAAATAATGTACTGTGACATCCAGGCAAACATCGGGGACTTCACCAGACGTCTATAGACTATATGCACAGATGCCGAAATGAGACTATGCAGATCTCGCAATGCTTGTTCTGAGATTCTCCCACCCTTCGAGTTTGGGGCTTGGGTTTCAGATGTCCGGTTCGCGTTTGTTGTGTTGCTTGCTGTCCCAGGTTTCTCTTTAGTTTGACTTCTTGAGTAAGTTCTTCCTTTTTGTATCCTGAGAATTTCCTCTTGAGTTTGTGCGTGCGCCGAATATGTTTGAAGTGTTCTTGTTTTCCTGTGAACTGTATCAAATGTGATTTCAATGTTGTTGGTGCCCCCGGAGAAACCCGTTCGCTTCAAAAGGGCATCAGTGCAGTGCAATAATTGGGACAGCCGTGATCTCAGGAGCAGCTGGTTGAGCGCAGCCGATCCGCCATGATGGAGGTGCTTTCCCGCACCGACATGCCCATGTAGGCAGCCGCATGGAGTTCTAGTCGATTTGTCATAGGACGAGCATGTGCTCACTGTGCTTCGATGCTGCAGGACATCTTTAATGTCTGGCATAGAAGGTTTGACCATTCAAGCTGCCAAATTGCAAGATCCCTTGGCGCGCAGGTGGATGGCGCCGTGTACCGTAAGCTCCTGCGGCACGGTGCGAGGCAAGGGGATGCAGAGCGCGTGGGACGTTTGCTCAGCTGCTTGGTGTTGCACCTATGTTTACGGCCAAGCCAGTGAAGCTTTTCGTAGTAGTAGTGTTTCCGGCTACCGTTTTCTGATCCTTGGCGACATCGCTGCAGCGCTCGGGAAGTCGATGGACTTACCGGGCTCGATCCGGATTGCATCCGATGAGTGCACTCTGAGCGCATGGCGATGCCAAAGACGGCCCTCGGTACGCAGATCAATGTGCAAGAGCCCGGGAGTGCTACGGGCGGTGGGTGGTCCACGTTGTCAAATCAGCCGGCGGCGAAGGCTAGATTTGGTCCTGGCCGCGATCAGCAGTTTGGGTCCAGGCATCACTGGCAGCCTCAGCTGTGCCGTGAATCTCCTGCACACAACCTGAAGAAAAGCACGAGTGACTTTCTTTCAGCGTGTTCGGGTGAACAGCATGATTTCAAGGAACCCCGCTCTGGCAGGCGGTTTCGCTTGAGCAGGCAGCAGGTGCGCAGATGTAACAGCTTGGACAAAACCCACGCGTGCTCATGCCATCTAGGATGGGTTTAGGTTTGCTGCCAAGTTTTGGGCCGAGAGACTAGAAGTGTCACAGGACTCTTCTGAGCCTCGCTTTGTAATACGATCTTTCAAAACAGAGCGCAATTTGGAGGAGACAGGTCGTAGCATGGCGGGGACTTGTGCATGTTCGGGGCAAGTTCTGGGGCTCGGAATTGCGACATGAACAAATTTGCAATGCAACATAGAACCCGCTTCTGATAGCAAGGGGTGTGTCCAACTCTGTCATTTTTGGTGCAAAGCCATGTAGATCGATCAAGTCTTGACCATTTGCGCGCCCAAACTTGCAAAGGAAACGCCCCGTCCGACTCGCAGCTCAAGGCCAAAACAATGTGCCAGGCAGCTCATGGGGATGGTTCCCGACGTTCGCACAGAGGTTCAACCGCAGTTGTTGGCGACTTGTTCAGCCAAGTAATCTGTTGCAATCGCATCTTGCCGGCTTTGCGCACCACCCAGGGGTGTACTGCGAGGGCTAACGCCACAGCAAGCTGGGGCTGCCCCTGGCGTGCCTTGTGTTCCACTTCAAGCTGCAGCACCACTCGACCAAGGCAGGACGGGGCAATCCGAACCACCAGCACCACAACCGGAAGCACCAGCCCCGGAACCGGACGATGGCAACGACCTGGCCAACAATGTGAAAGCTCCCCTGTTTCAAAACGAGGCTACGGAGGAAGACAACCAGGGGCTACACCCCATCGTCGACATCTTCGATGACACGGTCGACGAGGACATGGCAGAGCCAGGACCGGGGCAAGCCCCCGCACCGGAAACAAAAGGTGATGAGGAATCAGATGAACAACCCGGGGATGCCCCACATGAAGTTCCTCCTGAAGTTCCTCCCGAGCCTGACGGCCCACCTCCCGCACTAAACCACCCACAGCGGGCACGTCTCCAACAGTTGCTTCAAGACAGAGATGCACACGGGAACCTCCCCTTCAACTGAGACCAATATGAAACGGACGAAGCGAAGTGGCGAGCCTATAGAAGGGCGATCAAATCTGACTACCGGGAACACAGAAACGAGAAACGAGCTCAGGGCACCTGGACGAAGGATAAAGAGCAGTGGAGGGGGAACAGACGGAGTCGATGTCAAGTGCACCAACGACGAAGAGCGCGACTACTGAGGTTGTGAGGAAGGCTTTTTCCAGGGAAAAACCCCCACCCGGCATTTGCGACCTTCGCCGGCCACTCAAAACCGTCGGCCTTGTGTGCTGGCTTGCATGTTTGCACAACTGTTGTTAAACAACTGTTCGATCCACTCTCTTCATTTCCTCTCATGGGGGTTCACCCCAACAACCCTGATGGGCGTAGATTAAGACGGGCTGCTGGAGCCAAAGTACAAACCAACCCGCCGTGCCTCCGCTCCGAGGCTTTCCTTCTCGACACGTTCAATACCGAACTGCAGAATTCGGCCAGCACAACTCTTGACATTCTTTATAGGGGGCACACCTCTTACTGCTATTGCCTTCTGTTCAGGTTCCTTGACTTGAGTGGGTTTGGTCTTCTTGCTTGTTCTTTGGTTGGGACGGCTCGAGGTGGAACAAACCCTTTGCTACATCAGGGGTCTGACCCTTCATTTCTGCAATCGTCACACCAACGATTGGATTCCTCATCGTTCTCTGGTACTGGTTATTTGACTGTGTTGCTTTAGGCCTGCTTGTGCTATGGCAGTGATGACATGTGACGGATTGCCAAAGCCACAGCAAGAACTACAAACAATCGATGGCAAATTCCTGTGTTTCCCGTTTTACGTACTCCCTTTTTGTTGCACGTGAAAGGAAGCCATCGAATGTGTTGCCTCTATTGTGCACTGTTTTTTCTCCCAATGCCCCACCAATACGGTCTGGGGCGCGACAGCACGCGGGCGAGAGGGGCAACCCTCGAGCCCGGAACCCTGGCGAAAGAAAGAGAGAGAGAGAGTTTGGCGTGAAGTGGTCCTCCCGCAAGTACCAACAAGGGCGAGGCCCCTGATGACAGCCATGCATCGGGGACGACAACCTTCGCACCGCCATCGTCGATTACAAGCAGCTCTCGCAAATACCAGCGAAAGTGGAAGTGAGCTCGACTGACGACAACCGCTGAGAGGGCCCGGTAGCACAGCCTTTTCCTAGGGGGAGACCTCTTCTTTCATATTCCACGTACGGCTCGGCACAACTTTCAGGGACCACAGTCGGAAATGAGCAGCTCAAGGGTCCTTTAGTTTTTGGCTTAGTGGGTGTTGGTTGGGTCGTGGTCGGCTTGTTTTTGCTGCTGGCTACTGACGGGTCCCTTATTTGTGTGCTTTGCCTTCAGTTTCAGGTTCCTTGACTTCGGTAGGTTCTCGTGGGTTTCTTCGAGGATCTTTGTGCTCCTACACTTTCTTTGTGGATCATTGTACAGTATTCCTGCACTTTCGCAAGGAGGCAAAGCCGGGGGAGCGGATCCAACATACAGAGTTGGAACACTGACTTTTACCCCTACAGTCGCAGGGAGCCTGCCCTTCGGGGGAATCCCCGTTTTGCATGAGTATGTTAGCTTTGAGAATTGCTGATACCGGAGTGCAATCTCCCGCGGGTCTGCTTGAGCCACATTTCTACTGGCAAGTATTGCCTTGTTGGAGAGAGCCCTTCCCAAATGCGCCCTCTGCAATAGTCAGGGGCGCCGACTGGCGCGCGGGCAAGGGGGGCTATCCTCTTGCCCATAACCCTGCAGAAAGAAAAGTTTGGCGTGGCATAGCATGTTCGGGCTTGGGTAGCGGCAGGGTAAGCTAGTCCCAGGCCCCCTACACGGCAGCTCAAAGTCAGACTGGCACTCACTACTGCCAGAGCGTGAAAGTTGATAAAACCAAGAGGAATTGACAGTTTATGCTGTTGAGTTGGATCCTCAGCCCCAGGCAGTTGTCTTTTTTGCGTCCTGCACGCGGAAGCCATCATTTTCGTCTTGTCGACGGAATACCTCAGTGGCTGTTTCCTCGATTGGAGAGACGTGCAGCGTTGCCGCTGCCCGCTAGTTTCTTTACTCGATAGTTAGTTCTGGCCTGATGAGTTCGCGTTGACTGATTTATGCGAAGCGTTGCTCAGTGAAACATTGCAGCTAGCTTCGCTTCAGCATTCTCGTCTCCTCTTGTGTCGACACTGGGCACGCGCGACGCAAGACAGGCGCAAGTCGTTGAAGCTTGTTCCGGCAGCGGTCGTGTTGTTCCATACTTTCTGGGGTATCTGTTCGGATAGCAAGAGGATTGAAGCTGGATTCTTTTTGCTCTCTGAGGCCGAATGGCAGCTTTGTGCACAGATCCCGGCCCTTCGGCGATCCTGGAGGCAGACAGGTTGACCACATGTTTTTTCATGTAGTGATGTCGCAGAGCTGCAGGCCTTGTCAGCGTGCAGCACGGCACCCTTCCTGGGTTTAGCCGGCAACCTCCTCGAGAAGCATCCCAGAGGAGAAGCCGCGCCGAGGTTGTGGGGACTGAGGGTGGTTGTTGCTGCAAGGAGCTCTCTTGTTGGCACGGCCTTTCGTGGAGCTTGGCGACTGGCGTCGGGTGCAGAGGCTTGGTCGAGCCGCATGCCTGCACGGCCCAACTTCACGGCAGCTGTTCGAACGTGTAAGACTCAGGACACTGGGACGGCTATGGCAGTCCTTCAAGGCGACACGGTTTGTGTCTGGCCAATGCTGCGACTGATGGCACTTTCTGAAGCCGTTCCGAGGAGCGGGTCAGAAGCCCAATGCGCATGTGCCCACAGATTTGTTCGTTGGGGCTGGGCAACAAAGAGCTACAGAGACAGATGAACATCAATAAGAGTCAGGAAAGCAAGCCGTCACCTTCACGATAGCTCCTGGCGAACACCACTGCCGTGCCAGTCGTTGCTGTGTTGCATGATGTCGGTATATTTGCCGCACGCGTGGACAGCATGATGAGCAGCCAACAGGATGTTCGACATATCAGCCGCACTGGATTTTGCTCGAACAGTCATGGAGCCCATCATTGGCTTGCAAGGCATAGCAAAATGTCTCCTTGCAGCATGCTGCATGCTGCAGTCCCGTTGTGGCCTGTCCAGACGTGTTTGTGCACTGCGAAACCAGAGTTGCAACCAGAGGCATGCGAACAGTGAAGAACCGTGCCATACAGAACCAACCCTTGCTGGTGGAGTCAGTGGCGGGTTTTTAGATACAGAGAGAGAGAGAGAGAGAGAGAGAGAGAGAGAGAGAGAAACATGGTTGCAGCGATGTATCCACAACACCCCCGGGGGGAACCCCATCCTTTGCTGCGGAGCCTTGTGACCCTAACCCTTTCCCTGTGATCCTGCTGATCGGAGTGTCATGTTCATTCTGTGATTGATTCCCATGATACCGCATGCGAGGGAACGCCTCTGTTAGAACGCCACCGACATCTGGGAAGAACCCAGCTATGCAAGGGAACTCGTTACGATGAGTTTTAGGTATCATTGCCTTGTGATCGTTTTGTTGCTTGCAGCCTGAGTCCCGTTGCATTGGTGGTGTGTGCATCTAATCCTACTTCTCGCCCCGTAACATACGGGGGCGCTGACGCGCGGGCAGAGGGCAACCTCTGCCCGTAGCGCTGAACGAAAGCAAGAGAGAGTCCACGCTGTTTGTAAGAGATACCTCCTTGCCAACATGACAGCGTGCAGCACTGTTTCTGAGCGGGACAAACATGGCCTGCATACAACAACAAGCCAGTAACTAAAACTGGGGGGATCCACGTCCTGATGTCCTGCACGCTTCCTTGTTCATTTGGTTGCTGCCCCAACGGTGGATCCCCACACTATGAGCACCCCCGAATACTGCACAACAGCTTCATAATTACGTCTTGGTGTGTCTGTGTTACCACGGGGGGATGCTAGCTGCTAACACTAACAAGAGGAGGTACACCAGTCTTCGTTTCCACCACCGAGCTTGAAGGTGGTGTCAACGTCTATGTTCAAGTTTCGCCGAGACAGTATACGGAATTGGCCAGTTGTGATACCCTTGAAATATCTATCCGGGGATCACAAGGCCGAGCGAATTACTTGCAACTTCATTCGACTCCATAGTCCATATTTCTATCGAGAAGAGTTTCAGCGACAAGGTGATGAGGCAAAGATACGAACCAATGACAGGCCTTTTGGTGTCTGTCCGTGCAAATGAACCTAATTATGACTCTTCCACCGTTGCGCTGAACCGGTTGCTTCGTCCTGGTTGTGGGGAGAAGCGAGCAATGGATATCGGTGGCCGAAAGCTCCAATGTTCGGGATGTCACTGTTCCCGACATCATCGTCACTCTGAGACATATGCCGCACGCATAGAACTGTCCTGATGAGTCCGGACCGTACAACATAGGTGAGTGCATCATGTCGAAAATGCTCGTGAGGCTAAGCAGTCTCCACGCAGAGAAGGAAAATGATTCCGAAAGGCGTCTTGGAAGTTCACAGTACATCGGGCACGCGAGTTTGTCAACAACCAACAGTTTGAGCAATCCGTGATGATATAGGTTCAAAAAACCGTAATACAGAACTCGGCGACCACCTGGAGTTTATCGCGAAATTGATGCGTTCTCTTCTCGTTCTCGTTTTGTTTGGCACCTGCTGGAACGATTTCAGCACGTGCTGTCCCTGGTGTATGCAAGGCGTTTGTGGCTTAGAGGACGTGCTGTCTCAATTGAAGCGCTGATGTCGATGATGAAATCAAGCAATCAGCATGATGACGACCGCGCCGTGAATGTTACTAATGGACCCTCGAGATTTTGACTCACAGATCAGCTTCAACTGCCTCTGTTGGACGCCAGCACAAACCGTACCACGATGCGAAGGTGTCAGTTTCAACCGTGGCGTCTTCAAGAACTCCCCCGAAACCGTTGGACGCATGCAACAAAATACCATCTTCAATGTTTAGGACTACCAGTAACTGTGTCCGTGTGCTTTTTTGTGTCTTGCGCCAAACGTGTACTTTCTTTGCTTGCGCTTCTACTTTTTGTTTCGGATGTTTTTTTGGGTGTGTGTTGTAAGGTTCTTTCGAGCCTTCAATACCACTGATGGTATTCCTTAAAGTATAATATTCATTCAGTAACCAAATGCATACTTTTTATGCGGCCGAATAAAAGCGTACTGGGACGCGAAGAAAATGTTGAAAACCGCACCCCAGTACGACCCGTACCCGTACCCAACCCGGATTGTATCGACATAATGTCGTAAAAAAGCCGTACCCGGATTTCGACATTTACCCGCACTCAGATACTTTTTAAGCGTAACGTATACTTTTCTGCGCGCAGCTCATTTTGGACCTGCCGGCCACTGGGAAGCCCTTCCAGATCGCGTGTAATTCCCGAGACCCCAACAGGGTTTTTGGCCCTTGGCCTCCATGCAAGAGACCTTCAGCGGATGCTTTTATTCCGTACTGTAAAAAAAGTAACGGGGAACCCTACGGATGGAAAAAAGTAGAAGGACACGTCCACTGGTAGTTTAAGAATCAGATGCAATCGATCGTCGCGGCGTCTCACCGAAAGTCTTTCACACGCGCCGAGAAGGGGGGGCGTAAAAATGCACAGACGTAATTCACCGACCATCCCAATAATATTGAATTTGGCTTCCATTGAACAGTATAACTTGATTGTGGGTTGCTGTCAGCGACCTATTACACCCATTCACCTTTTGCAGTGGATCGAAGATACCCGTTATGATTGCTTGCCTACTGTGTCGACTACATCAAACATATGGATCAGTGGCATTTCTATATATATATATATATGTAACATTACACTTGGCTTCATAGTTCAAGCAACACCAAAACATAATATGAGGAGAAACCATCAGCACACATTGGCCAGAAGGTTCATAGCGTTGCATGTATGGCAGTTTACATGTGATTGCTGTGTCTGGCGCACAGGAGACGGCAGAAATGCCTCGAAGCCGCTGCAGACTTCCTGTTGGCGGGAGGGCAGTTGTCAGCCAAGCCACCCGTCAGCACACACGGTCACGTTATTTGTGCGCGTGTTTGTTGCGGCTTGCTTGGAAGATGTTAAAGGCACAAATTTCTAATCAGTCAGTATCTTCCTGTCAACTGCAGGGACGAAAATCCTTGCTCCGCCGCAGCGGTGCTGCTGCGACGTGGCCTGGGTGGTCGTGCCGTTTCGCACAGGCACCGCAACGCAGCTGGACACAGCCCACTACGAAGCTCCAGGCGACAAGAAGTCGGATCACCAAAGAGCATGACATCACGCGCCGCAAATTCGTTTCGCGAGGCAAAGCCATCTTGGCTGTGCTAGCCGAGTGAGCGCTGCACTGGATGCTGAAGATCCGAAGCAGGCAGAAGTTTGGCTGCGCAGGCAGCCGACATGACACTTCGTCCAGAACTGGAAGGTCTAATCATGCGAAGATCCTAAACTCCACAGAAGGCGTTCGCCCTTAGCCGCGGTGTGGAGTGGTGTCTTTTTGGAACTTCCCCGTTTTCCTCCTCGCAGGTCTCGACTACCAAAAGGTGAGGGAATGAAGCAGCAGAGTGGGGTTAGTGCACTTTCATGTGCCAGTGAAAATCCCTTGTGACGGCTGCCGGGTGGAGTCAACGGCACAGTCAGGTGGATGCAACTCGCATGCCTTCCTCGTCTTACAGAGGCAGCGGCATCAGCTTTGGGTATCGATGCCCGGTGCATAGGTAACTTCTTCAGAAGAATTCACGCAGCCTTCGCAGGGCACCTCTCTCCGTTTGCAGCACTCATTCCTACTCGTTGGCACCTGACCTTGGTCGGAGGTCTCGGCGGCGGACCGCACAGGACCCAGAAGACGTGCGTCGATGAGAAAAGCAGTTATACAATTGATATGTTGCAATCACAGTCCAGTTCGGCTGAGTGTATGTGTTCATGTTCTTGCGGGAAGCTTGCTTCTCTTTGCTTAAAGCTCAAAAGCGCCCGCCGTAGCAGGGAGGATAGTTTCATGGAGGGACCACGAAGTCTCGCCGTTAATGCGCCGACAGGAGGAGGTGAGACGGTCCATGCAGGACAGAGGCAACACCGGCAAGCCAAGCCCCCAGCAAAGATACCGGGAATCTGCAGAGGAGCGCGGGTTGGCAGCAGCCGCCCGGCTTGCCGCAGCTGTCGCGGCTGCGACAAGCCATCACCCGGCTCCAGCCGTGCAAGCACACGCATCTGCGGAGAATTTTCGACTTCGCCGTCACAGCACTGGATGTCGAACAGCACCAGGACAGCCAACGCCGTCTGTGCGACAGGCATGGACTGATGACCGGCAGGATGCCAAAGAGCGCCCTCGCGAGGGCCCTCAGTCGGAGATGCGAGCACGCGAAACTCGCCAGCCGCGCGTCGCGCCGGGCGAGGTCGCTCCACGTATTGACACCTCTCCGCTGCGGCCACGCCTTGCACGTGCGCAAAGCGCACGACGTCCCACGAGACCTTCAGCTCCCGCACGGGCGCGCAGTGCCGACCCTCGCCGGCGTCAGGAAGGAGCCTTTGGCGGCTTTGTGCCCGAGCGAAGGGAGGCGAGCCGGAACAAGAAGGCTACAGTACGCATAGGCCGAGTGAACTGTGCAGTCATGTCAGGAAGCAGATCCGTCGCTCATGGAGGCAAGATGTCAGTGCGCCGATGGACCCGTGCCTAAGTGTCGCACAGACCAGGACGTTGCGAAGCCAGAGAAGCCAAGGCCATCCGGTGAGGGGCCAAGAATTTAACAAGAACATGGCATGGCCCCTCAGAGTGGGAGCTGCGGCCCCTCAGAGAGCTGCGGATAGCTGAGGTCCCGCAGGCATCCCAAGTCCCAGGCAAGGCACGGGAGCACGACATGGCTGTGCCATTTTCCTTTGTCTTGGGGAGAGGCTCCATGGGGCACAAGCCGCTGGGGCACGTCGCAGCACCGGGCAGATCCTTACTGCCACGGTCGCAGCTGTGGCATCACGCCGTGCGAGCACGGGCAGCATGTCGCAGGCTTAAGGAAGCTTCAAGACAGCAACGCCTGCGCATCTGAGTCTGGATGCCGATCACATAGATCGAAGACCCCGAAGCCGGTCGCCACAAAGGTCCATCATGGATCAGCAACCAACGCCGTTCAGGAGTTTGAGCAGCAAAATATTCTCCGGATCGTGCGACCTTGAAGCGAGATTTGCAACATGCCACCACGGATCCAGGCACTAGGAAGACTTTTTGCAAGCCTGCTTGCTGCATTTTGCCGCCTTCCCGAAGGTATTCCGTGGCCAAGTTCTTGGGCCGAGGCGCATCTGCTAGCGTTTGGGAGGCGCCTCTGCCGGAAGTGCAGCCATTTTTTCAGGGTCTCTGAGGCTTCGGGGCCTGTCTCGGAGACAAAGACAAAGTAGACTCGAGTTATGTTGTACTTCAGAAGCTCGCTTTGTCTCCAAGTGTGCGACTCAGGAGGCGCATGACGAAAGGGCATTCAACCGTTTGATAGACATACCGGGTTACCGGCCGCACTGTTTAAGAATTCGGTTAAATGATCTGCAGGACATGCTGCATACACCATGTTTCGTTTCAGCATGAGATCCCACCTTAATGTCGCAACATTGCTGCATGTCTCTGTAACTCCGCCCAAGAACCACCAACATCATACCCCGACCCAGCAACAATTGCAGTAGCAGCAGTGGGCGCAGACAGACATTTCTTGGGCTCGTGCTGCCAGGCTGTTCGAAGTGACAACGAGCAGCGAGTAGCTGTGAAGGCCTTCGACTTCGAGCCAGCAGCTGCAGAGAGGGCGTGGACGTAGACGCTATCGCTTTCTGTGTGGGCAGGTTTTCGACCAGGGGCAGCGGGACAAGCGCCAGGCCCATCGAGAGGCTCCGCAGCTTCGCAACACGGTACTTGCTCGGTTCGGATGCAAGTTCTCAGTGACTTTGCGACATCATGCGGCCGAGTGCATGTCAATTCTGATTGCCAGATGAAAGTGCTATCGAGGGTGCGACACCCTCGTATTGTCGAGGCATGCCCATGCCGTACTGAAGCAGCTTCCTGGTTTAAAGTTGGCAACGCAGATGTGCGAGATGTAGATGCTTGAGGCCTTTGAGGTGATCGAGACGCCGCGCTATGCGCAGTTGGTGTGCGAGGTCCTGTCCAAGCCCTTGCAAGCATGAGCACATGTGCGAGAAGTCATAGTCATAATCTTCCTGGCATTTGGCTCGCAGCCACATGGCAAACCGTGGGCAACAGCTGCAAGGTCGTCTGGTCATGACATGTTATGGTTACAGCCTCACTTCATCAACATCCGAAGTGTGCTGCTTCAGCAAATATCAGTGCAACAACAGCGTCATCTTGTCGCGATGTCCTGGCTGAAAAACGCAGTCACAAAGGTCGGAGAAAAGGCTGAGGCCTTTGACGACTTCGGATTCCAGGTGTTAGAAGCAGTTCGGACAGCATGTCAGTACCTGGCAGCTGCTTGACAGGCGATCAAGCATAGCGAAAGGTTTCAACGACTACAGGATGGAGGGAGTGCTCAACGCGTGCATTGAGAAGTGTCGCACAGCCAAGCAATCACCGATACACGGACACTGGCCAAAACAGTCCCGAGATTCTGCCTGCGAGGAGAGAACAAGTGTCGTCGTCGCTTCTGCTGCTGAGGGGGTGAAACGGGCACGTGAAAAGATTGGCCACTTGTCATGTCTATTTTCCGAGCTGAAAGTGGCGGCTCATTTTGCTTCATTTCGCAGCACAGTCCGAGCTTCCGGCAGCTGCCTTTCGTCTGCACCACTTCACCCACTGAAGGTCGACCTGCCAACGCGATCGAGTTTGAAGCGCAGCTCGAAAGTCGAGCCAAGTCGACTCGTACTCCGAGCATATTCGAGACATGTCGCAACTTTTGCGCAACGTTTGCAGGTACACTGGCCAGTATTGTCGAGATGCACAAGGCAAAAGTGTGGCAAGTTCGGCTGCATCGCTCATTCTGCGGCGTGAACCAGAAGTGCTGCAATCGCCCGCAGTCCTGGGTCCAGAGCATCTCAGCAGGCAACAAGGAGGGGCCACGGGCTGGCGCCTCGAGCTTTCGAACTTCCGGTGTCGTCGTAGGATTCGTACGGCCGAGGTGGTGTCTGGGGACCACGAGCTTGGATTCAAGGACCGATGAAGACCCAAGATACACTGGTTTTGTCTTGTGAAACGCTTACAGCGGATCCTCAGGAAATGTTCCTTCAGAGTCGCGCATTGGAGTATTCAATGGAGGCGGGGCAGCTTTTGCCTGCATCGATATGTTGACGGAGCACACGGAAAATGTGTGTGTGTGTGTGTTTGTTTGTTTGTTTGTTTTTGTGTGTGTGTGTGTGAGAAACTCCTGTCTCTAAGGATTTAGGACTTGTGGCCACTTGTCTCGTGCTGAAGCAGGGGAGTGCGGCATGACTGTGGG